AGTTGCACTAGGTTTTTATCTTTCCAACGGTTTATTTGGCTGCATGAAATTCGAAAAAATACGAGTTTTAGAGTCGTTTAAAAAAAATATGACCAAATTACGCTATACTCCCCTATATATATATTTATTTATTTATTTATAATGACATAGAAACGGATATTCGGTATTTATGACATTTCTAAAAACAGGTGGAAGCACGATGTGATTGAGATGTTACGACGCAACACGCGGAAATTCCTTCATTCAGAAACTTTTCAATGAGATGTTCAGAGTTACAGCGGACTCTTGTCTTCGTGCGAATGCATACCGAGAAACCCGAGAATCCGGGCATTGAAATCATATATAATTAACTGGAAAAAATGAAACATATGTATAAATACTATAAATATATATATATATATTTATTTATTTATAGTGCGTTTAATTTTTTTCCGGTTAATTATATGATTTCAATACAGTAGTCAGCCGAGAAGCAAACAGCTTTTTTACTCCAATAGCCAACCACTTTCTGCATATATTAATGCAAATTTTATGACGTCGCGTCTGTTTGAACTTGAAACACTTGTGTTACTCACTATGCGATAACTTGAATTTTCGTGATTGATCGAATATTCGAAACGTTCTCTAAGATTGACATGACCTTTATTATTCTTGGAAAGGAATAAAGCCTCCAAAAAAAAAAGAAAAAAGACATGACAGTTAAGAAATCTGGAAAGCATCTGTGCATTTTCGAGATAAATGTGCGTTGTATTAAATTTTGCTGTCTGAATGATTTGGGTCAGATTATGATTGACATTTTTCTTCGTTCCAACATTCCATCGTTCTTAAATTCTAGATGTATCTGAAATAATATTGTTTCTTTTTTTCAAAAAAGGTTCGTTGAAAAATTATGCGACTAGAATCTAAGAATGATAAGGAAATGTCCTTATCTGACCCAAATTATTCAAACAGCAAGATCTAATAACCGAAAATTTATTTGGACAATTCTAGTTATTTGAAGAACAGCTATCTAAAAAATATTTTTTTATAATTTCACACATAATTCTGATTATAAAAACAAACATTACATTTTTGCGAGTAGCGTGAATTCTTTTATGATTCCAAAACTCAAGCAAAAAACAAAGTTATGGTGACATCGAAATGGCTTCAAAATGATTATTAAATATCACTGTTTGATCTATCATCATGATACATTTTAACGTCATTTTGACGTTATATCGTAATATTTTTCTGCTTAGAATCGTTTAAACAAAGTATTGCAAAATCGATATTGAAGTAAGAAACGGAAATCTACTTGACCCGCGCGAGAATCAATTTTGAATCACAGTTAAATCAATCGCACACATCAATCACATATTTTAATCAATCTTAACGAAGATCCTCGAATCCTTAACAGGGGTGGTCTTCCGAAGGCGTCACGTCTGGATATACAACCGCAGTCAATATATGCCGATGGCGTGCGGGAGTCGAGTGTCGAACGCGTGGATGCAATGCAGAACGCGGCTCATTTTTCGTCGGGCGATTACTACACGTCCACCGGATCTTCGTGAGAAAATTCAGATGTATCCTTGCGATACGGTTTGCAAGGGCGCGCGCGATATTTGCATGCCGCGGGCAGCGCGAATCGTCTTCACGTAAAGAAGATAAAATCTACGAGTTTAGACGGATGTCGGTACGAGTTGTACATACGCCGTCGCGAGAACGACGTATATGTTGCGCATTCCGGCGCGTCGTAAGTCTAGAAGATGTTTTCGTTTATCTCACAAATGTGCTCCACGAGAGAGAGATACACCAATAAAGATATATTCTTTGAAAGTACCGTCTTAGCCGCCTTATGACTCGTCATGATCCATAAACGTTGATGTGTTTCCAGTCGGAAGTTGAGAGCCGTAAGATACGTTTGAGGAGAGAAAACTTCTCGATCAACAATACGCAATCTTGCGCGGTGACGTCTGTCTTTTCTTACCACATGCTGCACGCGTGTAATACGACGAACATTAAATGTCCTCATACGCGAGCAACAGGTTGCTCTTAATCTATCTAGGACGCCAGATGTATGGCATTGCGTGTATATAGTATAATATGCGTGCGTTATGTGTGTACGTTATATGCGTATTTTTTCCAGATGTTCAGAAGAAGTAACACTTTGTTTCACGACATTTATATACTGCCGTCATTCAAGGAAAAGTGCGATATGTAGAAAGCTACGTACTCAATATTAGAAATATTGTATATACATATATAGTATTATAATAATAACCCAGACAGCACAAAGTCTAAAATTGACATAAAGACGACTCTTAGACATCTGTCTTTTAGACATTTCTGCGAGAACTGTCTAAAAAATGTCTAAAAGTCGTCTTATGCGTCAATTTTATAGACTTTGTGTTGTCTGGGAACAGTACTATAAATGTTATATAAACTAATATTAAATATTATACATTTTTGTGTAGCAGCGGAATTTTTGGAAAGTATAGAAACATGGAATTTTTTTGGTGCCATGGGCTGACCAATTTTAAACTCATAAAAGAGGGAACAAAACAATGGAACAGGACTCTACAAAAAATTAAAGTGGCGGAAGATAATGACCTTCAAAGGCGGAAGATAATAATCCTTTTAGTTTTAGGTCAGAATGCACTTTTCCGTCCGTTGGACGGACGACAGAGTGGAAACTTTCGCTGCACGAATTGATTATAGATGACATAAAATTTAAGTCACACAACGATTCTCAATTTCGTGGCCCTCCCGCAAACCGGTCTGTCCGACCTTTGGATAGCGTTCGAGAGATCGGAATGCGTGGTTCCTCACGTGTGCGAGATGAATTACGGTCGCGATTGAGGTGCCTTGCTGGACAACGTACCGAAAGCGAACGAAGGAAAAAAAAAGAATACAAGTGAAAGGTCTATCGAGGTTAAGGAACTTGGCGATCTCTGGTAAAAAGCGGTCGCGTATAATTATTTCCATTTTTATTGCGTAATACCAGCAATTCGTGTCTGTCCGTTCACTCAGGTACAGGTTGTTAGATATAATTGTACATATATGTATATAATTATATATAGACGCAATTCACATATGTGCGAAAATTAATAAAATTGTGAACGAAGAATTGCGTTTTGTACGTCACTTCTTCGATATAAGTATAAGCGCTAAATAATTTCTACGATCAGAACTGACCGCAGATGTCCAAAATCAGAGAACACAAAACATCTTAAAGATGTCTTATGTATTTTCGTATTGTTTGGGAATAAATGGGATTTGTACTATAGAAAAAAAAAATATTTATAAACATATAGATTTTTCTGCAATTTAAAAAAGTTATTGTGAAAATTTTAATAGGGCAACATTAATACGCAACGTTTGCACGCGTAAAAATGAATCGTCGATTAAAATGAAATGAATCATGTCCTTAACGTGCATCGCGATGGAAAAATACAAATTACACTCGCCGTCATGACTTATTATCAAGGTACGCATTGCATAGCTGCACACGCACGTATATACACAAAGCAATGCAATGGTCAATATGAACAGTTAACGAGGCCAACTGACGAAGCAGCAGTCGCGATGAGAATCAATCGGCTGAGTTGTAATTTTTAAAGGAGTCGTTTAGGAGTCGCGGGAACAAACGGGTTCCATTGTGCGCGTCGGCGGTTTCAACAATAGACGGTTTCTGAATTTACATGGAAAAATTGTGGAGTACGGAGGTGATTGTTTTTTCGACCTGTATGCCCACAAACGGTACGTTAACAGCGTACGTGGACGGATGTTAATTAAGATAACGATGTTTGAAGATGTAAAGATGCGGTGAAACCCGGCGATTCTTCCGTATTCGGTTTAATAAGCAAAGAGACCAAAGGAAATTAGCGCGAAGCACGGCTCTTGTATGGCATATTGACGTTGTAATGATTTGATTATATCGAGATAATCGATTGCTAACTTTATTAAGAAAATTACAACGCGAGATAAAAGATAAATATTTGAGTCCTAGAACTAAATTACTGTAATCAGTGAAACATAATTAATAAGAATTGCGCTTTCTGTCGAAATTGTCTCATTTTATAGATTATACATACATTTTACAGCATTATTATTTTCAGCATGGACAAATCGACGCGAAAAAATTCAGAGATTTTCGTTCATAACGAAGATACGTTCAGCTCGTGCAATATTCGCGTTGCATAAGATGCAGCATATGCCTGTCGTTGCGTCATCTCACGCTCATCTGGTCCACCGATTTCGCGTCATCGCAGAGACGACGAAAAAACGTAACAGCATGCCGGATGTAACACAGAATCCGCGGATGTGCAGATTATTACGAGCGTCCTTACACATCCGCGAAGTTCGCATGAATGGAATCGAATCCGTAGTAATTCTCACACTTCCGACGCGCTTACGCGAATGAGTCATCGCTGAAGCTCGCGGATCACACTCGGAGGTTTTCATACAAACGGACGCGTTACTCATTGCGTGCAACGCTAACGAGTCACGATGAGTCTGCGAGATAATAAAGCCGATCATAAGTTTATTATATTTTGGAAAAATATAACATATCCTCTCTCCTCGAAAGATAAGATAACAGACGTAAGACTTGTATTCCGAGATCTGGAAGAGATCGCAAAAAAACCTCGCGTTTTTTTTACTTTTTATAATTACAAAGTGACAAATATTAAGAAAATTTAAAAAATTATGAATGTTATCATTTCTAAATTTTGCTATTTTCTTATGTATATACATATATGTGATTTTAAAGAACGAGAACTTTATAATTTTAATAATTGATCGAGTTGATTTATTTATATTATTGCATAAAAAAGAGAAAAAAAAATATATATATATATTCACTCGCGAAAAGAACATTTCAGTGGCTTGTTTTTTGCGAGGGTGCAGAACATATTTAACTTAATAAATCTTTCATTACGACCGTCTCTGGCGAACGCATTATATGATATGGCTGTACGAGCCGCGCGCGCACTTCAAAACGATCGTGTCTAAATATTGTTATTTTTTATGATAAAAAAAGAGCATAGATTAAACAAGCTTTCTCACATGCTGCGATGCCGATAAGATGTATATTGTATGCTTATTATCTCAAAATGTAAGCACTGTATTATATGTCGAGCGACAATAATTACTTATAATAATATACAAAAATCGTTTTAGTGTCGGCCCATAATGAGGATTTTAAATCCTAATATAGTAAGAAATAGACCAACCGTAGTCGAATACGAGGAGAATAATCGATTGTAATTTGTCAACATCTTACGGTGTGAGGCTTAAAATCCTTATTGTGGGCCGACACTTGTGTATGTGCGACCCATGGGAACGAAAAGATCAATAGATATTTTCGACAATGTAGCTTTCAAAGCTATCCTTTATCTTATTCTTTTGTTTTAATTAAACTTTGCCTCGACATTCGAAAAGAAAGAAAGATGAGAATGAGAACCGTCAGTTCGCAAATGAGTTTCGAATATCAACAAGCGAACAGTACAGATGTAGAGGCAAAAACTCAAGGATAAGAGATGGAAAGCTGCTTCTCTCTGCGAAGTTCGAGGAATACGAAGAATCTCGCAAGGGCAAATAAGATTTCATTATTTTCCGCCGAAGGACTTCGTAACTGCATTAGCGAGAACGCGGAAATTGGCAAAATAAAATTATTAGAAAAATTGTTAAAATCGTGGATTCTAATAGCATACATAAAGTTTTAATAGAAACATTCACAATCGAAGTTCAGATTCTAGTTTAGAAAAATATGGCGAGATTCACGTACGTGATTTCGCATTATTGTCATAAAAAAAAACTAGTGACTTTTATTATGCACTTGCTGTAAAATTTATTAATAATAAAGGCGTAAAATTCTGTCTGCAATTATTAATATTCATGTCTCTTCGAGATGAATATTAATACGACTTTTGGAAACTCTTGTGCAAAACGGCAAAAACAAATCATGAAATTTGTCGAGAATTCTCCTTGGTTTAAGGTAAATTGCGACTTACTGCGTTTCGTCGTCAGATATATTTATATGCGCCAGCAGCCTGCATATGCGTGCGATAACATTGTAAGGCTTCTTTTTATACAGCTACAGCGTATGTCTTTCCACTTTATCTTCGACCATCTTCGTCAATGTTTTCACGCGTCGTTGACAAGTACAAAAGGCTGCAGCTGATTGAAAACCGCGAACAGCTGAAATGATTATTTCCACGAAATGTTCATTTATATAACGAGTGTAATAATGATCTCGATTAAGATTAGAGAGTCTATAAAACCTTACAACAGCAAGAAATAGAAGATATTTCGATTCAATTATTACAAGATTATTATTATATAATTAAGATGATTATTATTTATGAAATAATGACGAGGGGAATAACTTTCTAACAGACGCTTCGGAAATCGAAATTAGACGGGACAGTCTAATCGACATCTCTACAAATTACCACGTGCTGTAATATTGCATCATACTACGAAATTTTAGCGTAGCCGAATGACTCGACAAACGTACAACACAGGAGTATTCAACGCGTATCCCTCCCTCCCGACCCCTCCCCCTTCCGTTTCTCTCTCTTCCGAAGTGCACGCGAGTCAGAAGATGCCGACTACAATATCTCTCGAGTCTCGGGGTCCCGATTTCCCCTCGGCGTCTCGAAAGAGACGAAGCCGACGAAGGGGAGGGAAAAGGGAGAACGACGCCAGGCAACCCCACATATGCGCGCCGGGGCGATATGGGGTCGTCCCCTATATTCCCGAGAACCAAATGCCCGCCTGTAAAAAGGATGATCATGGCAAACGGTAGTAGACGAGCGTGTGCGGCACGCACTGTAGAACGTCGACGGCGCGCACTATAGCGACCCGGAGCTGAGAGAGACGCGCGTCGGGCCCCCTCCGTCGGTTACTCTTCCCCAAGCACGAACCAATCCCCCTCCCCCTCTTCCATTCCCTGTAGCGCGTCTGCCGCGCTCTGTCGGTCCCTTGGTACCCTCGCTGGAAGCCCCCTGCCATCCCCCGCGTCCCCCTCGCCGTCACCCCCTTCCCCTAGACGACACAACAAACAACCGCGACTTCTCTCGTCAGTTGCCGCTCAAGATATTACTGTTGTGTGCACGCACGCACGCACGCACGCGTGCACGCATGTACGGCGTCACGTACGCACACACACACGCGCGCGCCACACGCCACCGGCACTCTATTCTGCGGCTGTCTCACGGTAGTTTCTGTGGGAAAAAAAAGGCGTCCCCGGGAGAAGGGAAAGGGAAGCGTTTATTTCCTCCGTACTGCGCGAGAGAGGAACAGAAGACGGGGCACCTAGAGCGGCGTGCCTCGCCGCTGCACAATTTTGTTTCGCATCGTGCGTGCATGAAGGCTCGGGAGCGAGGGAGGGGACAACACTGTCGGGAAGGGGGATGGAGGCAGAGTGAGAGAGAGAGAGAGAGTGTGAGGGGGGATTGGCGCGATTGACAGTTGGTAGTTAGCTGTTAGTGTCGCTTCCTCGATACGCGACGGCGGTGTGCGGCCGCGTTGTGTTCACCAGAGTACCGTAGCCCTGCCTGGTGCGAGAGCAGTTCCCCGATCCGTATCGAGAAGGGAAAAGAGCAGCGGGGGGGAAGGTGGGAGGAGAGAGGAAATCTCGCGTCCTCGGGAAGGGAACGGTCTAACGACGAGGCCCCGCCGGCCTTTAGCTCTTTACCTTTAACGCGCGCTCGCGAATGGGAGGGATCGTCGAGGAGATCGAGGGTAATCGGTTGGGAAATCGAGACGGCTGAAGGAAGAGGAAGGACGGGGGAATCGCTAGGAAGGATCCTTGTAGCGCTCTGCATGACGCTGCGTTTGTTTACACGTCGTGTCGCGCTCGGGTGCTAAGTTGCTAACAGGAGACGCCCGCGCGAATTCCATGGATAATTACCGAGGAGAAGGATATCCGCCTGAGGGGATAACTGTTCAAGGAGCTTCTCGATTAATTACCGCGGAGATTGTGGAAAAGGATAATTATTGAAAAATCTAGAAGAGGAAGATAGAGATAAAGAGAGAGAACAATAAGCTGTACCGCAGGATTGAGAAGAGGCGGCGGAAGCGCGTCGGAGATAATAAAAGGAAGGACTACAAGGAAACGGAAGTAGCGAGAAGAGGACTCGACCCGTACCCCTCGTGCTCCCCCTACCCCGTCCCTCTCCCGCAACGGCGCTTTTATTAACCCGCTCGCTAAATGATTCACGCGGTCTCGCGTGAGCCGCCGATCTCTGCCTGCCGCAGGAGGAACTGGAACACGTCGAGGACTCGTCGGGAACTCGTCCAGCGTGGTTCGGTGACCGATCTCCGTACGGAGAGTCGAGGGAAGGTAGGACCCCCGGCGGGGATAGAGGGTTACTGGGAGAGAGAGAGAGAAAGAGAGACCGTAAAAGAAGGGCACGGAAGGAGGGAGAGAAAAAGAGACAAAGAGAGAGGGGGCAATAGAAGAGGAAGGCGAAGCGGCAGGGGCACCGGGGAGAAGGCGAGACGGAAGGAGGAGAAAAAAGGAGGGAGGTAGAGAGGCACGCCGCGTGGACAACCGTGCACGCTCGTGTCTCTCTCTCGTTTCGTTTTGCTGCTTTCGTTCGTGCGAGAGCGCGGTGGATGAGCTACGCTCGTTAGTGCCGGTTGATGGTACGTCCTCGTGGTCCTGAGCCCGCCGTCAAGAGATTCGTAATCCTCCGTGAGGAGAGGAGGTGACCTCGCGGCCCCGCGCTCTCGAGGACGTGGGTTTATTCGCACGTGGGTTATCGGTGGTGTCAGTGGAAAGAGGTGGAGGAGGTGGTGGTGCCGGCGCGAGCGGCAACGCGATCGGCTGCGATCAGAGGTGGTTTCCCCTCGTCCCTTCGGGAAGCGTCTTCGTCGTCGTTGTCCTCCGTCGTCGGAGGACGTCGTCCTCGATAGCAATACAACACCGGCGCAATCATGTATAAGCTACTGGGAGGGCTGAGCAAGTATCTGAAGCGGCAGGACATCATCACGGACTCTGTGCTGTTTCGTCTGCATAACCACTTCACCACGGTGCTGCTCTTCACGTGCTCGTTGCTGATCACGGCCACCCAATATGTTGGTAACCCGATCTCCTGCATCGTCCAGGGCCTGCCCACGAACGTCATCAATACTTACTGCTGGATAACGTCCACGTTCACTATGCCGGACGCGTTCAATCGACAGGTGTGTGATTCCCGATCGTATAAACGATCGTGTTCTCGGCTTCGCGACGAGCGCGAATCCAGACCCTCCCCGCTTTTCATAAATATTCCTCCTCAAGCCGCGAACACGGATCGCTATACTGATTGAGATCGTCACATTAATAGTGATAAAAACATCTGACATTATATTTAATTATTGCGAACATTTACATGTCAAGATGTTCACCTTGATTAAAGGATATTGATGAAGTTGTCAGCGAAGCGTAAGATAATAAGACTTTTTTAATATAAAGTCGACTTTATTCTGAAACTTTTATTCTAAAGATACCTACTTATTGTTTTCTCGCTACTCTCCATTTTCTTTATATCTTATGGAGTATTCGGGGTGTGAGTTAAGTTTCTGAAAAATGTATTTCTATCAATTTTTGTTGGCGAAAAAATCATTACGAATTATACAAAATTTGCCGTGTGCTGTTAGTAGAGATAAAGCTGTTCGATAGTAAAGGATAACAAATAAATTGACCGCGAAATCAAGCAAATACATTTCAATGCAATAAATGCCAATTTAATGCAATTTATGCTTGAAATTGATAATAGATAATGTATATTTGCTAGTTGATATTTTTTTTTACTGTAGATCTTATTAATAAAATTATTTCTTTTTTAATTAATTAAGTTAATGAAATTTAATAAAATTAGGGAAGCTGTTAAAATGTCTATTGTATTACCTACGCGCATTGCATATCATATCGTACTCGAGATGAAAGTCACCCTGAGAAATCACCCCGCGTGAACTATTGCTTAATCGTTGCACCATATCTCTCTATTCATGAATAAATTGCCTTCTAATCAATTTAATTACGAAGAAGTTTTCACGGCCGCTATCTCTTTGTTGATCGTGCAACGTTTAACCGAGCGCGGTTGATTTACTCTGTGAATATCTGTGGAAGATGCTTCGCGGCAAGAGTGATTAACGAGCCGATCGGTTATGCAATCACGTTGACGATATTAAATTTTAAATTACCTAGAAAGTGCCTCGTATATAATATGCTTTATCTTCTCGCAAGAATTCAATTGCAAGAATTCATTCCTTAGAGAATCCTAGAAGCATCTTATTTTGTAAACTTCTTTTTTTTTCCTATTTCAAAGTACCTGGAACTTGTTCCGTTGTTCAATAGGCAGGCTCTATAAATATCGCCTTTATTGACGACCCGCGTCGACACTCGCGCGTCGAATAAAAGCTATATATGCGAAACTATATATCGCAGCGTGTTATCATATATGGAAATCGAATACTGATTGTATTACCAGCTGACGCGCGCAACTTATCGGGCCGAAGACTTTGGACGCGAGCGTAGCTGATCCTTCTAGCAGTTTGTTTTTTAGAAAGCCATAGCCGTATACGTTCGAATCACCTTACGCTTGTTCATTAGTTTATTATTTCTACTATTCTAAATTACTACTAGATAAGACCCACGAATTCTTTCATCTCGTTGCATTATTTTACATACAATATCGCTTTCGATATACGGCGACATCGCTTCGTGATCAAGAGATTTGTCACGTTTACAGCTTTCGTCAGGTCGGCAGCGGGTAACACAATCATTTGATTTCCATGCGATAAACCGATGCATATGGCTTCGCGCCGTATATAATCTTTCACGCGTGAATTTTTAAGAGTGACACACGTAATCTATACGCATATCAATAGTCGTGAATTTATTATTCTCGATCATCACATATTTAGAAATGCGTATCAGTCGTTCGAATTCTGCGATTGAAGCGCAAAATCGTAACGGATATCACATTGTAGGAATTTGCCGCGTGCTGTCGGCAGAAATAAAGTTCAAACGGATCAGCATTTTTGCGCGAAATGTTTGCAGAAGATCAGACGCGCGAGAATTAAAGCAGAGGGAATGCTATATGTACGGTATACGGCTAATGAGGCGGAAATAATTGATTCAAGATATAATCGAAACGAGTTGGAAATTGTAGGCAGTCAACCGCGATTCTAATTGAAATATATACGGGACAATTGAGTTCGCATGATGTTACGTACATGCTCCGATGTATTGATAACCGTTCAAGGATATCGATCGAAAACAGAAATCAATCAATCAAGAGAATCAACAAAAACAGCTTTGTGTACGTTACATTGTTATTAAAATTTAAACATTCGAATACTATAGAGAATCGTATATAGAATGAAAAAAAAGTATTTATACAAGTATACTTGGTTATAATTTATACGAGCATTCTTCTGCGAGTTGTACATCGAAATTTGGCCGTCAACGTATTTATAGACGTGTAAATTGGTAAATCGCCTTTACGAACGCGGGAAAGAAACGGCGATGAAAATTACCACGTTGATCACCGGATTTTTTTTTATGTCCACTTTGCTACGGCAATGTAAATGCAGTATTTTAACAAATGTATTCATCACCTGCCTTGATTAGTCCTGAACCGACGATACTGCTCCTGGGACAAGAGATTGTTTACGAATATATCAGTGCGATGCACGAGTTGGTGCCGTGGTGCACTGATTATCAGCGACCCCATTAAAGTATCGCGCGAGTTCCTGCGATATCCTGATTAGGGAAATTTAAATACAGAAAAAAAATGTATATATAATTTGTGTGATACCATTAACTGGTCCGATAACCGTGCCTTCGTAAGCGAACCGTAATAACGCGCGCGCTTGGTCTCTTCCTAATTGGGGATCCGCTAAACACACGAGGGAGGAGTATCCAGATTAAGAAAACGTTCGTTTAATAAGCTGCGCAAGGAAGAGAGACTCGTATTGTCAACGGCCAAGACCCGCGAAGTGCCAGCGTTCACTTCTAATAAGACTATATGTAGGCCCACGGGGGGGAGGGGAGGGGGAGTGATTTCTCGCTATCGACATCTAAGGAGGGTCAAATGGCTTTATCGCGGCGTTATGATGTATATAGTCACGGTGTCGTCGTTATCGCCGTGCCGCTAAAACTCTCGTGTTTCCGCAGGTCGGCATGGAGGTCGCCCATCCAGGAGTGGCCAACGACTTTGGGGATGTCGACGCGAGGAAATACTACACGTACTATCAGTGGGTCTGCTTCGTGCTGTTCTTCCAGGTATGCAGAGTGTCAACCCACCCTTTATCGGCGATCTTAGCCACACGTGCGACACGGCGGGCGCGCGCGCGCGCGCGACACGCAAGAAGGAGGACCCTCGGAGGTCTCATTGTTTCGTCCCTTCTTTATGCTCGCCCGCTCTCGTCTTTCCGCTCTGATCCGCGCCTGTCCTTCACGTCTGGCGGCCGACTGCGGCGGCCCACGTGCGGACTTGTGCGTAGGAGATGGCACGAACGGCCGCTCTGATATCCATCTGCGAAGATTTTTGTACAGTTGCAAGAAAAGGGATAAGTTGAAGTCCCATTTTCGCGTTATCCATTAACGTAGAGAATTTTTTACTTTGAAGTTCACGGTAATATACAAGAAAAAATGGTGAAAAAAGGTGATATTTTTTTAAGTCCATTTTCGCGTGTTTCAGTAAATAATATATGACGCAATTTAATCGTAGAATTGAATTCGCTTGGTTTTAACTTGTAACGACTAACATTACACGCAATGCTTGTCTATTTATTCGATTGTCTTTCTGTTAACAGGCAGTTATGTGCTACATACCGCAATGGTTGTGGGGCATGTGGGAAGGCGGCCTGATGCAGGCGCTGGTCATGGGAATGAATTGTGGTATGGATAGTAAGGACAATATAGCGAAGAAGAAAAGTGCTCTCATGGATTATTTGATGATGCACATCAGGGTAAGAACGCGAATGCAAATCGGTTCCACGAGTTTGATTAAATTTTGACTTGGCTTGAAAAATAGTAATGTGTGAAAAGTTTCGAGAAGGTAGATCCATTATTTAACTGGTCCCTCTTGGTGGTCGCTGATAACTACTTATTAGATTTCAACTACGTCGCACGTGTTATTGCTATCGTTAGTCATAATATTCTCGCATTGAAATGTTTTCAAAATACACTGAAAGATTAGACTTTAAACTTACAGATAAGCGATGAATTTAAAAAATAATTAAAAGAAGCAGTGTTTATAATGAATGTTATTTAAAGAATATGGTTTTGATAAGATTTTATAAATAAATAATTACTTAATTCTAATCTGAATTCTTTTTTGAATTGTTTTGATAAGATTTCCTAAACATAAATATGAAATAATTAATTAATTAATTCTAATTTGAATTCTTTTTAATGCGATCATAATTTCTTGCAATTTAAAATATTTAAAACAATAAAAACCTAACAAGAAAATATTTAGTAAATTCTAGTCAGAATTCTTAGATGTCAATCATAATTTTTTACAATGTAAAAATGGCTGGTAAATTCTAATATAAATCCTCCTTAGATGCAGCGTTAGTTTCTTACAACGGAACTAGGTTGCACTGTGCTGCCTTTTAATAGATTATGCGAGATGTCCCGATGTCACTTAGGCGGAATGTTGGAGGACGACCAAGGGGGACAAAGGGAGGAGGGTGGGAAGGGCATGTGACGAGAGAAAGAGAGACGACCGCGTTAAGGCCAATTCGTCCTCATTGAGTCCAATTTGCTTTAATTTAGCGACGAATTGTGCTTTCAGAATCACAACACGTACGTGTATCGGTACTTTGTCTGCGAGTTTCTGTGCCTCGTCAATATCATCGGCCAACTCTATCTGATGAACCGATTCTTCGACGGTGAATTCTTCAGCTATGGCCTGCGTGTACTGCAGTTCTCGGATACACCGCAAGAGGAGCGACTTGACCCCATGGTCTACGTGTTTCCCCGCGTTACCAAGTGCATATTCCACAAATACGGACCTTCGGGTACGATACAGCAGCACGATTCTCTCTGCATTCTGCCGTTGAACATCGTCAACGAGAAGACGTACATCTTCATCTGGTTCTGGTTCTTCATACTGGCCATCATGTTGATTATCCTGCTAGTGTATCGAATTTTGATAATTTTCGCTCCGATGATACGGCCGAGACTGCTGCATCTGTCGACGAGGCTGCTGCCCATCGAGACTTGCCAGAGCGTCAGCAGAAAAGTTGACCTCGGCGACTGGTGGATACTGTACATTCTCTCGACCAACATGGACTCGCTCGTCTACAGGGAGTTCCTAATGGAGTTTACGAAGAAGATGGGTAATACTAGCTCGAAGTCCGTGACCGCGTAAAGCGCGAGATCTTGGACGCGCACCTTATGCGCTGTATAGAACAAGAATTTACTTAGCTTAATTACACCGACAACACGGACTGACTCGCACCTCGCGCGGCGCGTTCCTGCAAATATCTCTCGCAAGGACTTGCAGTTATATTTTCGTATATTCACATATTATAGCGATATGTAACTTTAGATATGCGCAAGGAATTGAGATTTAAATTGGATTTCATAATTATTTTTGTAGACATTGATTCAGAATTACGATTCTGACTTTTAAAAGCTATGGATATACAAAAAAATATATCACTGATAATTCACAATCAGTGACGTTATTTTACTTTGTTATTTGTTTTGCTTTAACCACTTATTTATTTAAAAGTTAGAAGAATATTCTGAATCTTGTTGTAAATAATTAGTCTTTCCCAAGCGATCATTTCTAAGCATATTATATGTGTATATCTCATTTCATTTTGCGATTTTTAAAACAAACACTTTTATATCGCGTGTCTCGCGCAATTCTATTAGCATATGTAAATGCAGTTGCTTGGGAAAGATTGATCCAACGATCTTATACTCAATCTCATACGAATGAGATTTTTAGTAGTTTTATATTTAAAATATATAAAATAGATAAAACTTAGACATGAAGGAATAAGACCATTTGAAGAAGAGTGTTAGCCTAAAAGATGATTCTAACGCAATTAGCGTGGGCGCGAACAAGTAAATAGAATCCAGCTCAATTTTGTAACACCCGTCATGTATATAATATAATAAACATATAAAGGGTGTTTTTTTTTACTAAGTTTTGTTTCACTAGTAACAAAAATTAACGAAAGAAAGGAAGTATTTTTAAAAATAGTGAATGTTTTTTTTTCAAAATTATTTGTCCACATGTTTCTTTTTTTAAGAATTGCCAAAATTTTGTAATTCGAGATGGCAAAAATCTACCATTGATACTCGGTAATTCTTTTTCGAGTCTTGTTCTCGTGTATCAAAAGACAGTTGGAATTTCCTTTTACGAACACACATACGTCCGAGAACCACCGTCATAATATTTTATAAATAATTTTAGTTTTGTAAAAAAAAAAAAAGAAATAACTGTACACTATGCTACTATAGCTGTTCGCCGGTTGCTCAAAACGTATCGACTTTTATTCCGTTCCCATAATAGTCGCGTTCGAGAATTCGGTTCGTCGGTCGTGACGGCCTTGGGGAAAAAGGTGCAGCGTGTAATCTAACTGTTAACATCGGATTAAGCGGTTTCCGTTGCCTGTCTGCATAAAATGACCGATGAAGTTGCAACTTATCGTGACGTGCACGTTACGAACCTGTCGCGACGTTTTCAGCGAACGTTTATCCATTCGACGGAACAGGCACTTTACGAGTGATATACGCGTCATTGCTATTCCCTACACGTCAATTAAGGGAGAAGAGGCTACATTAGAAAAGTGCGTGATTTGGCGTCACATACGAATATCTCCGTTAGCTGTTATATAGCGTGCTAGATATCCCGACTTCAGTTTCAGCGGCAGAAGCTGGTTCTTCGAGCTGGTTACACCATTGATTTGGCGTCGATTTTTCGGATCCATTTTTCGTCCGAATTTTTATACGATTATATATATATATATATATATATATATATATATAAATAATATGATATATGGGAGAAATAACGGACAAGTAATAATTCTTTGTAATTTTTGCTTAAGAGAAATCGACTTCAAATTGATCACGTTTGTCGTCGAAATTAAGGTCGAGGGTTCCGGTACCATTCAGTATATAATTTATCTTCTTTCTATAATCCGACGCGAATTACCCCTCGCGTTCCAATCGTACATGCGTTTGTATGTTACTTTCGCTGCCAATCGATTGCGTCATCTTGGACCGCAAGAAAACCGCGTATTTGCAATACGGCCTTAGCGCGACTAGTTATAATGGTCACTGCACGCGAATTGTGACGATCATGAATTATCGTAGGGAGGACGGTCAGCTTATTTTTCAAGCTGCTGTTTTAATGACCGCAACGGGATTCAGTCGGTCGCAATTACGTGCATGTTTGTATTGTCTTATGTAAGATGTGATAAATAGTGGTAACATTCTCAAGAGAACTAAAGGTTAAAAGAGAGAGAAAGAGAGAGACATACGTACACAAAAAAAATACTTTTATGCCGACCCGCTTATCTTTGACCGTCGGCACACATCGTTTGCGCGAGATTTTTTGCCCGTTTGTGTTCCACGGACAACACAAAAGCTGTTGTAAAACAAGACTTCCATTCGGAATCGTAAATTCGTTCGTAAATTTCCTTAGCATATAAGTTTTATTGTAACTACGAGCAAAGATGTGCAAAGATTAAAGATTCTGAACGATCTGAACGAGAGCTTGTGGTTTTTCTACCTTGAGCGTATGTGGGACAACGCGGAGATTTCAATGCGACGCTTGTTGACGCGCGATAAAGGTCCCTACACACCGTGACACACGAATCAACATTCGGCCAAAGATTTGTAAGATAATTTGACGACACACCCGACTATCGAAGCAATTTAATTTACAAACTTTTGCAACATTCTATTGCTTTTTGCTTTACATAGAAATAACTGATGGGATGTGATTTATAGTATGAGTAAATTTCCAGCATACGAGTCTGTTCATTGCATCATATTGTGAAATGAAACTGACTAAGATTGTGTATTCTCGTGACAATTAATAAAATTTAACGTTTTTTTTTATTAAAGTTTAGTTAAATATAACAAGTAAAGTAAATGTAAAATAGATGATTATTAGATTTAATTAACTGAGAGGAGAAAGTTAAAATATTTTACTTATTTTAATTTTAATTTCATAAATAAATCATAAAAAATGAGTTTTTTTTCAAGTTTTTAGAATTCAAGTAGAATTATACCAAAATTAATAAAAAATCGTTATTTGCAAAAGTATTTACGAAGGAAGCATTGCGGTTATTGAAAGATATTTCAAACAAAACCATTAATAAGTTAATGGTGACTTTTAAACTTTGTTAGATAGTCGTATGAAACTTGTTTTATATCGGAGTTTTAACGTTTTCTTTTGCATTCTAGACATGCATCGCGTAACCGCATTCGTATGATTTGATGACGCATTTTCAATGTCTGCGAATAAATTAACTTCAGTTCTGATAAGTCATGTATTACAGGAAGAGTGAAACTATATGCAATTAGAAAGAATTCTTCTATAAGAAGTGTTACAAGATTAAGAAAATTAAGTGATGTAAAATGAAAGAGAGATCTCATACTTATTATTTTAGAAGATTTTACATTAATAAAAATCATTTAATTATAATTTTGTTAAGCGAGTCAGTTTCTCAAATTATTGTAATTAGAAATGATTATCGAAATAGAATCAGAAGAATATTTCTCCTTTCAATGAAAAATATTAAAAAATAAGATATCTCAGGAAAGATAATATATTATGAACATTATTGGGCTGCATGTTTCACTTATCTTTCACGGAGATCCAATTAGTCCGGCTTCTCATTACCTGATTCGCCGTAATTTCAGCGCATCTCGTGTAATGATTCACACACGTTTATAATTAATTGTAAAGAGAGAAGCCGCTTTATATTTACACCGCGTAGTGGAACGCTTGACGTAAGAGTTATTACATATACGATCGTGATCCGCGCACATGTCACGGTAAAAAAATGATCGAAGTCTTGCAGACGATGACTCGAATCTCTACATACATGCGCGGATAACATCGATGACCATGATTCTGATGTTCTTCGTAATTATTAGCAATTCACACGCCGTAACGGGAAGTGCGTTCGAATGGAACGTACAGAGAGCTTTTCAAAATCATTTAAATCAGTTAACGCACGTGGCAAAATTAGCCACAAAATAAATAAAATAAAGTAATATAAAACGAGATAAAATTCTCTGAAATTAAATAAAGTAAATTCAACTCCAAATATTTTTTGGAATTTATGGTACTCAACTAAAAGTTATATAATGAAATTATGTTTTTTTATGTGTAAACTGTAAAATTAACTTTTTAAAAATATAATTCTCTTATTGAAACCTGTAAATTTGATTTTATTTCATCGATATGAGATTCTTTGAATATAATTGTAAGACCATTAATTAATTGATTCATACCTGATAATGTGAACTTAAATGGGTAGAATTACGCGGGTTCATTAAATTATTATGTGCGACTTTGATATGATAAAATTGCAGAGTTATTACCACAAAGAAGAATGGGATGAAATACGGTGGCTCTGTTATAGGCGCCCTCTGCTCAACATCTATTGCTCAATGTCCACGTCGATAAACACAGTTGTTTGAATTTGTTTATTACCGACCGGCCGATCGCCGATCGAATGTATCAAGAACATGGTAACATGTTACATGAAATGCAATGTGTAAAATAAATTTTAACTCTACATATCAAAATTTTTTTAAGAAACTTCTTTTATTAAAAAAAATTTTGTTTCAATTTTTTCTTGAGAAAGGAAGACCAGATGTATCTTTTGTTTTATTTTAAATTAAATTTTTTTTGTATAAATACTGAAATAATTGTTTTTTTTATTAATTTAAAATAGTAAGCACGATAAAATATTTATCAGCGTCGTGATTTTGGTCTCGAGTTCACTGTAAATAAGTAAATAAATTAACTGCCTATAAGTGTTAATAAACGGATATTGATAAATGGATATAATAACGGATGTTAATAAACAAAAATCGACAGCCAGTCAATGCCGTTACTGTCATATTCTTCTACTTCCACTGTTTACTCATACAATATATTTTCAAAGAGTACATAATTAATTACAAATAAACAAGAGTTAAAGTCACGATTGTTTGTGACACGTGCGAGGTATTTTCTAAACAAATGAGAAACTCAAATGGCAAAATTATAGAATGTATGTATGTATGTACATGTAGATTGAACGTTGTCGGAATATTATAAATAAATGGGGATCGCTTGATCCGCGCGTTATTACGTCGAATTCGTTTTGTGATGATTTTTTCGCCAATACTCCGAATATCTTCGACGCTACTAGCATCAGCAAATAATGGACACGGGAAACACGTAGAATACTCGGTAAATAAATTACGTGAACACCGCGTCAGCCCCGTACGACATGATAGACATGTCGTTTATGTATTTAATTGCGATCAGGCGCGTAATTGGAGCTCGTCTTAAAGACAGATCTACGTGGCTGTCTTGTTTTCCATTGCGTAATTTGGAGCTGTACATATACATAATCGGACATATAAGAGACAGACTCCTAGATTGTAGTCGTTAAATTATTTCAATGTATAACATATACGAATGTATAAGAGAGCAGCTTCCTGCAGAAATGTATAATCGCTAAATTATTTTAATGTAACAACAAAGATATTATCATCACAAGCGTGTGTTGTCGTGATAATTTTTGGCAATTTCGAAATCTATTCGACGTAATAAAAGACAGAAAATAAAAAAGACCCCTATCAGAGCTAATAGACGCCGCGCCGTAGGAATCGGTCCTAAATTAGGGACGAGTGGATCCCGGTGGACGCGGCGCGGCGCGGCGCAGCGGCGGCGGCGAGGAGTCTCTCGCGTCTCTCGCGTCGCCGACGAGGCGAACGCGCTCCCGGCGTAACGCGCTCGCCCGCAACTCGCGGCTCGGTTCGGGTTCGGCGTTTCTATTCCTGGAGCGTGCCGACTCCTCGTCTCCTCGGCTCCTCCTAAGCGGAGGTAGCCGTGCCATGCCATGCCATGCTCGTGGCCCCGGCTACGGAGCCGACGAGTCGAGAACGTGCGCCAGTGCGAGCGAGTCCGCCCGCGCGGATCCCGAGCGTGTGTTGTACGCGCGCGTGTTGCTGCGCGCGGTGTGCGGCGCGGGAAGTGGCCGCCGGAAATGTGCGTGCGCGTGCAACGAAATCGACGGGAGCGTGGACGAGGACAGAACGCCGACGACGACGACGACGACGCTGCCGTTGCCGCACGCCGACGAGCGGGAGAAGGAAGCCGTCGACCACGCTGCTGCAGCGATCGGGCCGCCAGCATCGCGATTCACCGCTGCGGCTGATCATCACGCTCGGCCCGTCGCCGTCGCTCTCATCCCGTCGCATCGACCGACCGATCGACCGACTGGCCGTTGCGTCGCGACGACGGCGTCGATACGCCGGATCGTCGGTCGGCGACTGATCGCGCTGCAACGGAATGCCGGATCGCCGCTGCCGGTCGTCCACGACGGCGTCGCGACGCGCCGCGAGGTTCCTCCGCCGGAAGTCGTTGGGCTAAAGAATCCCCGTCGCCGGGCCGAGAGAGATCGGTTACGCCGAATCGGCAACGCGTGACGGCGAGCGCGTGCACGCGAGTGACAGGCATGACCGCCGGAGTCGGATCATCTCCGGCCCTCCTCTCTTTTTCTCTCTTTCTCTCTCTTTCTCTTTCCCGGTCTGGATTGTCACCGGAAAACGTAGGTCCTCATTTCCCCCGATGCCTCGGGGAGAAATCTGTTTGCCGCGAGATTATCGGGGATTACAGACAACCGGGACGAACTTCCTTCGCGCGGTTGTATACGGGAGATCATTATAGAGATTTCATGCAACGGCACACGCGTGTCCAGTGCACGATAAACGCTAATCCCGCGTCACGTCGTTAGCAAAACGTATACGGCGGACCGTAACCGCAGGTGTGTAGGATCAAATTGTTCACGCTCGCTTATAATTATAATTAAACACAAGTGACAACATGACGCATGAGGTTTTAGCGTTTACTTCGAGGTATGACATTGCAAAATTTCTCCGTCACCAGGAATCTCGAATATAACTTGGAGGAGTTTAAATTCCAAACGCTACGCGCGACAACGACTCGCTACACTTATTTGGAGGAGGGACCTTGTAGAAGGGACACCCTGGCGTGTAAGGAGCGCCTCTTCTCTGTCCGCGAAAACCGCGCTCGAAATCACGGTGAATTTCTGATCGGCTGATTGCCGGCTTCGGGTATTTTCGGACGACCCTTGTTCGCGATGATGCATTGCTCGCGAACGTGGCGAGCGCGCTGGACGGATGACTCGGCCGCGAAGCGCGGCCTCGTCCCGCAACGGATCTTCCGTGTGTTTGGAGTATCGGTCGAAAGGTCTCATCTCGGCGCGGAGCCACGTGTTTAGATTATCGCGGTCTCCTTTTACGAGAAATCGCGGGCGCGGAGTATTTCGAGAGAAAGAGCGTGCATGCGAAAGAGAGCTCACTTTTCTTTTTATATATCTTCGTTTATGATGTATCGGATAAACTTTTTTTACGACTCCGCGAGCCGTGCACGTCGAAGAAGACGAACGCGGATAGAAAGGCCGTTATCGCTGTTTCACGCTCATTCCTATGCTGTTTTCGTTATTTGACAGAGCCGTAGAGAGCGGAGGGAGATAATGATGGGAAGCGGGGATCAGATAATCCCGGACAGTTTCGGGAAGACTGCGTCACGAGAACGCGTGTAAAAGTTTCTTGTATCTATCTACTTTTTATTTTTAATGTACTTATTAAACATATTTTTTTATTAAACGTCGATTTTATTAATAATATATATATATCGAGTTACGCATGTTTCTTCTAGTAAACTCACCAAAGTTCAGTAAATGTATAATTTAACGAGACGTTTATTGGCTAAATAACATATGAATATATATATCGTACACAAAATGTTCTTTCTCTTCATAGTCTTGAAAGACAATTTAAAAAAATTAATTTTGGAGAATGGATAGAAGATAACTCGGATTATGACACTTAAAAATTTCAAAGAATTTAATATTTATTAGTATTAGATTTTATTTAATTAAATAATCTTTGAGATTATATTTGAAGAAATAAATTTAATGTGCCTTTTTATTCGATTTTTCAATAATAAGAGCAGATATAAAAATATAAAATATGTACTATATTGATAATATTTAATCGCATGTGATCACGTTATTAATTTTAGGAAAATTTTACATAAAAATTGATGCATGAATATCCTTGGGTGCTACACGTTCTCGCTACGTCTCTGCTATCTGAATTTATAATTCGTTTTTATGTTTTTCCGTTGTGATAGAGTGTACTGAAATTTTCGAAAACTAAGAAGAACGTATTATCATATGAATGATAGAACAAGGAATGATAACAAGTCCACCGCAATCCTTCACCGCGTACGGACGTCTCAAAGCTCTCGGTTGTACCTCCCGTTACTTCTTGCCCTCTCACCTGTTACCGCTCGCTGGAATTGCATTCGAATTAAAGTGCGTACGCGTTCTCGGCCGCGAGTGCAGCATCGGCCGCGAGTGAAACTGTATCTACAATTCTATACTAATTTTGTCTTGTCCAATAAAACTTTTATTTGCCCCTTTATCTATTTTCCTTAACAATATTATAACATTAACATATGCTAAATTAAACATATTATATTTTGATGTCGGAAAGTTACGCTACCTCGGGAGAAAGAGAGGGACGAAATAATGTCGGAACGTAACGTGAAACAAGACAGACGGCTCGAGACTTCTCCACCTTTCCACTTTGATACATTGATCTTCGCGCCGTTGTATCAATTTAAGCGGCTCTAAATGTGTCGTGAGTTCCATTCGTCATCGCGGAATATTTTGATTCGCGCGCGATTAAAGCGAACACGACGGGCCCGGCGATGTGCCGATCCTAATCCTAATCGAATAACACCGCTACGCTTTATTTAAAACGCGCGCGCGCGCGCGCGCCTAAACGCGCGTTTACTACAAGCGCGTTGACGCTAATTCACAAATCCCGGTTACGAAGATATCGAGCGCGAACGTTCCTCCTATATCGGTCTCCCCGCGATTGTCTGAGTATTCACCTATTAACGGTGATGTATCACTTCCGTCGCTCTTCGCAACGCACCTTCATTAGTAAATATCCGAAGTGCCGTTACAACGTTGTGTAATCTAACGCGCGTTATACAACTCGAGCAGTAAGAATTTTCAAGTGGCCCCTCAGAGTATCCCCTCCCCCTTCCCACCCGGAGGATCGTACATTAAGCTCGTATTTTTGTATACGTGCGGAGAAGTGGACACGCTGGATTAATTTAGCTATTTAGGCTACACGTGTATATCTTTGCAAGAAGAGGGTCATTAAAACGTTCTGCATTCTGCAGTTCACGACACGCATTCTGTGAAAGTTTATATAGTGCTGTTCTTTTATCGAGAGATTAGATCGATTGATTGAAATTCGCAAATATTTGGAATATTTATTTTCGCAATCTCTGGTAGCAACCTGGGGGTCTATATTCTCGAAAAATTTCGCATACGAAAATGTATAAAAATATTATGGTATATATACGCTACTATAGATATCCCTCGTACTTTCGTATGCGAAATTTTCCACGAATACGGCCCCTGCTATATTTAAATATCGTTTTCTATTGTACTCTATACAAAATTTGCGCGCATTGTTTCGTGAAAATAAAATTATCAGCTCGCATAATAAAGTACTACCGGATTAGACGCTTTTCATCGGATCGTATCTTTAGATTTTCTGCAGGGGCTTCTTTTGTTGGCAGCATCGCGGCGAATAAAGTCCGGCGAGTGATGCCGGCAAGACTGAAAAGAAACTTTGCGCGATTACCATCAGCGCTTTTCAAGGTATGCCTGCAATGGCATCTTAAAGGTATAAACGGTTAAAAAAGGCGGAATGGCATTGCCATAGTCCATACTTAATACCACTGTAAAGAACGCAGATGATAAACATTCTGAATGATCTCGTGAAGAGGAGGGGGGGAGTAGAGGCGGGAGGGGAAGCGGGAACGCATTAAGGCTCGACTTACATCGCGGGGATAATCGCGCGCGCGGATCCCATTCGCGATCCCATTGCAATGCGAATTGAAAATGTTCTCGAGAGCATTTCGACGGAAAACGTTTAGCAGTCACAGTTAAAAGTCAAGAGGTACGCGGTTCCCACGCGATAAACGATTATTTGATTCGCGCTATGCGAAACGATCGCATTCCGTTCCAAATATTCCGACATATCCGTCGACAATCGATATAGAAGGAGCGAGTTACGACATTTCGCGTAAACGACAATCTTCTGGAAACTCTCGTGCGAACGAGAGAACGAATTCAACGCCATGTGTTTTTCCTTTTTTATTTAATCTGAAAATTTTCATTTCGCGCATCGGCTTGAAGGTACTGCCGTTTGAGTTATTCAAAGCGCAGTTTGAATTCGAATTACACGGGACCGTCTAATTTTGAAATCGCGATCCTGCACCTGCCGACCAGAGCCAGCCAGATTCCGGCTGCCGGTGATGTGAATCCACCCTAAAAAAGTGACAGACGCGTCGGGGGAAGTCCACCTCTCTTTCTCGCTTCTCGTTTTGCCCTCAGGTATTTCGCGGAGGAGCGCTTATATGTATACCCGTGCACTCTCTCCGTTTTGCCGCCCGCGCGCCCGCCGCGCCGGGCGTTTTCGCCTCGTGGGGCGGCGAGAAGTGCAGTCGCATGCGTAAACGCTAAAATAGAATAGGCGCGCACGTCAAACGGCATTACGGGCCTCCTAATTTCTTGCCTAGCCCGGCTCATTTTCGGCGAAACGAGCGGCGGCGAGGCGCGCGTCGTAACGCGCGAACATGCATGCCCGACGAGGGCGAGAGAATGGGGCGAGGGGATGGGGGTTAGGAAGGGGGGAAGGAGTCGTATCAAAGCGGATGTGCCTTTGAAGTGGCCGGTGCGTTAATTGCCGCGGAGTTTTCGATCGTTTCGCTTACCCGAGCCCGCCGGCTCGTGGCATTAATGGGACTCGAGGGGGAGGGGGGGAAAATTACGAGAGAGAGAGAGAGACCCCATCGCGCGCCGGTTATAAATAAAGCCGGGGGCCCCCTCGAGCATTTCGCGGAGACTTCGCAATCCCCCGTGCTCGTTGTGTATCCACCGGTACCACTTGTCTCACTTATCATCCGCGATACTCCCTATCGCTCAGGCGCATCTGGAAAAAGTTTCTCCCAACTGTATGCGGTCGCGTCGTATTTGCGCCGCGCGCGTACACGTTGCTCATCTCCGCGAAGTCGAAATAAGAAAGACGGGACTGCGGACATCCGCTTTGGCGAGAGGGAGGAGGGGGAGAGAGGGAGGGGGTACGGCGCTAATATTCAAGAATTAACTTTATCTGCGTTCTGCCATCGCTGTGCAGAGATTAGCAGGAAATTGGTGGCTAATTGGCAGGACGCGGGAGAGAGTTGCATAAATTGATATTGGTTCTTATATACGTCCGTCTATCTGAAATCGCTAACTGAAAATATATGGGGAGATAATTACATATGTAAATTAAGATTATATGCATAAATTATGACGCCACTAAGTTGATTAATGAGAACGTGCTCGCGTATCGTACGCGAATCGCAATGCGAATGGCTCATGAGATATACGTCGCGGGATTTTACACTTAACATTTTTGCAGATATTAATAGGCGTGTGTGGAGTTTATCGCGATTTCCCCCGTGGGATTTTTCTCGGGAAGATTTATATAGCGCCGCCGATGTGAGAAGACACGCGCGCGAGAAGAACCATCAGGGTTATCCGGAATTTACGTTTAGCCTTAAGAAAAAAAAAAAAAGCATTTCGTTAATGTTTTCGTTAATGCTCGAGACGTATGTAGACTGTTTCTTTATGTTTCGAAGCCGTTCGATAATTTTGGCACGTTTCAAAACGTTTCTCATTTCCATTTCGACGGGTTGCCCCCGTTAAAACATCGACGTGACCGCGGCCGTCCCCGCGCGCGTGCTCGCGCGCGCGGAGCAAGCGCGCGGAAACAAGTGTAAAATGTTTTATTTTCCCAAAAACGTTTCAACTCTAAAATGGTTACGGCGAGCGCATCCTATCTTGGCACAGGTCCAACAGCACACAACTTCATCCGAGTCGAAGAAATACCCTTATACTTTCGTAACATCGACAAAGAACCGCCGCAGCCGTTGAGTGCACATAACAGTATTTCTTCGCCGGTGGAGAAATTACTTAAATTTCGCGAATATAAAGCCCCCACCCTCCTCACCAGATTCCGTGTTTACGGTCGTCTTCCCGAGGAAGCACACGCGATAATTTCGTCCGTTCATGAGCAAATACGATTTCGTATCGGCGATACTTTACCTTGAAAATATAGTCCGGTGACCGGCTCGTACTTGATCTTGAAATCATTCGGGAACAAATCGGAAATAACGCGAGCTCTCCGCGTTTCGGACGTTTGAAAATTCGTTCGTGAATTTCGCCGGGCAGAAATTAATCCGGTTTTTACGGTGAACGCGTAATCGGATCGCTTTTCTCGCGTGATCTATATTGGATCGGTCTCTACAGAGCGTGAACGAAAGACGAATTGATCTTCTTTGACGGGTCAATTCGGGACGGAAGCCCTACCTTTTTCCGAGAACAATAAAGATTTGCGGTATTTGAAGACGTGCACAAGAGTCAAAAGGAAAATTCTCATTATATTTTAATAGTCTCTGCAAGAGAAAAGCAATAAACATCAGTAAAGGTCTTCTGAAAAACTTTCCCTTTTTAGAATATATGCTCTTCTTCTAATTAATAATCAATTTAATTTTATTGTGTAATAAATATTTGCTGTGTTCAAAAACGTGCATAGAAATCAGCAATATTCACATTGTACTTTAACAATTTTAGCAAGAAAAAGAATTTAATAATATCTAGGCGTCAACAAGGATCTTTCTTTAATGCTACGAAGTTCTTTTTATAACACACACTTTTTTTTATAATGATCAATTTAATTGGGTTTTCCGAGCAGAGGAGAGCAGAGCATCAGTCGCAATGAGTCGCTGACAGATATTTTCGTGCGCTTTCTCCGAAATTTTCCGAGACGCGTCACATTATCCCGTTTCTCTCTTCGCTTTATGAAGGAAGACGCTTTCGAATTGGACGATGACAGCGTACCGGGGCTTTCGATAAAACTAATCATATCCGCGCTCCCCTTTCTTGACATTCTTAAAAAAAAAAAAAGAAAAGAATGGAAAAGGAACGGCGAGGGATTTACGATGACTTTATTGCGGCATCAAAAACGTAAGAGACGGGAGACGAAACATGCGAAACCGCGAGAACGAGGCGCGCCTCGAGCAGATTTTTCACTCTTTCACGGACACACTTTCCGAGAATACGCCCGCTACAAATTTCGGTAATGCGCGAAGGACCCTTGTAAACACTTCAAAGCGTGTGCGCAATCTTGCATGCGTTATACGTTGCGGTCGTTTTGCAATTTACCCCGCGCGAACGACAGCGGAACCGTAAATTAGGAATTTGATTGAAAAACTCTCCTTTTTAGAATACCCGAGGGAGATCGTGGGACAAGGTATTTTGAGAGCTCGCATCTCGCCGCGGCCTGCGTTCCTCGACGAATCGAAAAACTCGCAGGGATGCGCGAGATCGACGGATCCGCGCGTGTCACCGAGACCGACGGTGTCACTCGAATATTTGTGTATTCGAGCAGCCGAGATTAGAAACTACGAAGATACGAAGACACGTGAATGAAGAATACAAGAAGAATGCGCGGGAGGACTGTTGCCGTGGGAACAGCGGCATTTATTCGAAGATTCCCGTCACCGTCGATCGCAACGCGATTCGGCGATCGAGGGATCGCCCGTTGCTGCAAGCTTTATCGAAGTAAACGCTCATCCGTCGTGTGAGATGGAGTAAACGCGAAGAAAGAGGAGACGCACACACGGAGAGCGCGCACTGTGAGAGGGTTGCACCGCGTTTCTCTTGCGGGGAGAAATGTGAGACTGGTTAACGTCGTTCAGAAAATTGAATGCCAAAGACGAACAATAGTCGCTACTTAAGAAGACAGTATTTATAGCAGTAAGATTTAATATAACGTATAGTTTGCGATCGGCCAAAGGATCGACCAAAGATAGTACACGTATAGATCTGCCAAAGATATCCGAGTGATTATTAAAAAGCGATGCATATGAAATATATACAGCGTACGTATATTTTTGACGAGCGAAGGATATTTTCTTGCGAACCAGAACGGGACCGTAGGGACAGTAATCGGAAAAAAAGAAGTAAGTGATAAAGTGAAGTAGATCTCTTTTCGGAAAGCTACGAAAGTACAGCACGATCGAGTGGAGACGGATGTCTGCACGAGTCGAGTCGAGATATGCATAGTTTATAACGGAATTGCACGCCGTGTAACTAACCAAAAGTGCCTGCATCCTGCCAAGCGTACATATAAGGAACTCTCGCTTCCTTCATGATTCTACGAAACGGCGCTTCCAGCGGTAGGTGCATCGTGACGAGTAGATATAGGCTATCATCACGCTGTCGATATGCATATGTATTACTTTGCCCGATTTCTGTTTTAACATCGTAGTAGTTGGGAAATATAGACTAAACAGGAAAATGTACGGTTAACTTTTTTTTTTTTTTAAGATCCATGTGCGTTTACGGGACGTTCGCTTCAAGTTACGGACTCGTGTCGCGCTCGAAAGTGAAAAAGTGGACGAAAAGCGAAACATTGACGCGGCCGCAAAACGATCTCGAAATCGGGAACGGTGGAGGATGTGGGAGAAGAACGATCGAGCGACGTGGAAGGACGCATAATTCTGCGGGGACGTTACTCTGGGGAATCGCCGTGGCCCGGCGTAGCCTCTGACCCCTTATTCTGGTATCGTCCTGGTACCAAGATGCTGGACATATTTCGCGGTCTGAAGAGTCTCATAAAAATCTCGCACATCCATATCGACAGCGCCGTATTCCGCCTGCATTACAGCCTGACTGTGATCCTGCTGATAGCGTTCTCCCTGATCGTCACGACCCGCCAGTACGTCGGCAATCCCATCGATTGCATACACAGCAAGGACCTGCCCGAGGACGTACTCAACACTTACTGCTGGATACACAGCACGTACACGATAACCGCGGCGTACCGGAAGAGAGAGGGCCTGGAAGTGCCCTTTCCCGGCGTCGACAATTCCAAACAGTATCCCGAATCCGAGCGGAAGGAGTACAGATACTACCAGTGGGTCTGCTTCATGCTGTTCCTCCAGGTAATCGAGCGGCCATTCATTTCTGCACGAAAAAAACCGTCCTCGACCTCGTCTCTCGATAAATTTAATATATATACGCGAAGAATTCAGATATTTTGGTTTGATTTAGCAAAGCAGAAATTTAGACGTAAATCACAAAAAATATGTGTTGCAAATGCAATATTGATAAGTATAATTTTGAATGGCTAAATAGTACTAACTATTAACGAGTAAACTTTTGAACGGCTAAATAAAAATATTAACGACTAAAATTTTGAATGGCTGAATAATACTATTAATAAGTATAAAATTATGCACAGCTGAATAATAATAACAAGGTACCGACTGCGCGAGAGTGTGACTAATATGATATATATGCCGTGTGGCTGTTTTTGCAAGTGCGGATATCGAAACATTGCCCGCACGCAAAATTGGCCGCGCTTCGCAGAACATATGTAATTCGAAAATCCCATCAAAATTTATATGCAGTCTATTTAACGCCCAATGTAATAGTCCGATCCTAACTCATATGCCTTTCGTGAACGCGCGCGCCGCGTCGATTAGACAAGTGAAACATCAAGCACGTTTAGCGTCGAATGTGTGGTTTGCGTACGGGCCATAAAACGTACCGGTGCTTTTAGCGCTGCACTCGTAAGCGTGTTACTCATCCATCAATCCTTCCGCTTCGCGACTCGGCCGGCTCGAGCGACCTGCGCACGTTGCTCGCGAAGGCCTACCCATCTAGTCCATTGCCAAGAAAGAAACCTTAAGTATTATAACAACTGCACTAAACTTCGTCATTGTAGGTTGCTCGTGCGGTCGCCTCGTGCGTTCGATTCAAAGGCGATTACGATCGAAGACGCTCGGACGACCGCACGTTGTGCTTCGCCCTTTTTCGGCCCTAGAAATTTAAACCGTGCCGCACATGGTCGCATGCGTGATTAGCGTCATACGTTAACATCATGGATTATAAATTATATAACTTGCGTAGCTTGAAAATATAAATGTGAGCTTTGACGCGGCAGTGAAGTTAAATATGCAAATTATTTGGAAGAAATATAATACGATTGTCGCTGCACAATAATACCATCGTAAAAAAAAAAGCGAAATACGTTTTTTTTAATGCGAAATCGAGTGTCGAACACTCACTGTCGCCTGTCGCCACTGATTATTTCAGCTCGAAAAGAAACGTTATATTGGAAGTTTGGGTGAAACGGGTTAATGGCGCGGCGCGAACACCTGAAATAGCGATCCGTAGTATTTTCCTTGTGCTCTCTCGCGCGTTTCTTTCATGCTACTCGCATTGATGTCTCAAAATAAACTCAGTCGACGACAGCCTATCCCTCTACGAAGGTTCTCTTTTCTATTTCCTCGTCTCCCTTCACCCGTATGTTTTTTTCGCCCGGCGTCTCAAAGCAAACTATACAGTTTACAGCGAGTAGTCGCCGCTTTTTTACTGATGTATTCCCTTTCGCCGATATCTTCTCCACGCATTTCTATAATTATCGTTGAGCTAATTTCGTCGTTTATCGAACAATGAATTCTTTCCCGCTTCTCCGTGTATTCCGTCTCGTCTTTGTCGTTTACATCGCGTAATATATGTAAACCATATTATTTTTATTCTTCGGTTAACCTTATATTAAAGAAGATTTTTATAATCTAAATTATAAATTATAATAAAAAGTATTAAAAATATCAGAAGAGATAAATTACAAAGAAAAAAAATATATCTTTTCGATTGGGAATACTATAGAAATGAAAGGACTAACGTTCTTTTCAGTCTGCCTGCTTGGATAATCGCGTTAATGACTGCAAGATCACTTGAGATCTCGCGGCTGAAGGAGCCGACCGAAAAGGGTGGCTTAACGAACACCCCATCGACAGATCAATCTCGGTTTCTTAATCAGAGCACGAACACCTTGTCTTTACTTCGTCCTTTTATCGCTCCCTATTTTTTCCTAGCGAGAGAAGGGAGGTAAAGAGGTGACGACAAATACGGCCTCGTAAGTGTTCATTTCGGATTGTTCCTTTAGCGCGTGGTAATGGCGCGGTTAATTTCGTTACCCGGAATATGTGCGCGCCGCACTCGTAACGCGGTCGATTAAGCGTATTTTCGATGGAGATTGTCGTACCGCCTCACACCTTCCCGTTCCCGCGTGTACAATTAGAGCGATGAGCTTACCTACCGGGGTCCATTGCTCTCACTTTACAATAATGTAACCGTCGCGTCATGTAACGTAACGAGGAAAGATAAAGGGGGATTTTAGGGAACGCGCGAATCATTCGCGTCTCGTTATTTCCGTTAATTATTTCACTTGGGTACTTCTTTCTTGGCCTTCAACACAAATAGATCTCTTCCCTGACACGTTATCGCGTGCGAAATCAATGACGCGCACGTGAAATTTGAACTCGAATGTCTCGCGTTGTAAACGTTTACAACGTCAATCAATGTGCACCTGTGTGGTGGTGCATCAAGATTTTCTTCCGTCTTAATTTTGATCTTCGAGAACGTCATCGGTGTAATATATATATATATATATATCGCGATGACGTCACCGAGCGCCATTAATATTCATAATTCTGTCATAGGTGATTTCGGAGATGAGCAGAACCTTGTTATAATATTAGACCTCATTGGCTCGTTTCGAACTTTACAATAAAATGGCACGTTCAAAAGCTCCATTATATACTTATATTGAAAATCAGATAATTTCGCTGAAATTATATATATATATCTACTTATATGCCATATCTCAGGCAGCGTGTGACACTACGTCAGATAGCGGATAATACACTTTGATGTTCCGTCGATCAGTCTTTGACTGGATCATGCTGACCCAGACGCTTGCAAGATAATATCAGTTATGTGTTTAGTATCGAGGTCAAGGGATGCCTCTCAAGTCCGGTCAGTCTTCTGACAGCTTGTATCCGAGACTCACGTGCGTGTTTCTTTTCCAACTCCATTTGTCGTCTTTAACTTTTTTTTCGCAATCGTTTTGTTTCTCTCGTCGAAATTTCGGATTTAATTAAATTACATCGCGAAACAAAGTGAACGGGATGAATGTACGAACTACGACAGCGATGAAGGATGAGGAAAAAAGTGTGACGAACAGTCGGATACGCGAGAAATGTAAATAATAATTTTCTATTAAAAATTACTAAATGAAACAATGAGTAAATAAAACAGTGTTCGTGTATGTGCAGTTTTCGTGATCTTCATGTTTATAAAGCAACAACTTTCGTTAAATGGAAGATATTTTTAAGATCTATGAAAAAAACATAGGGGAGAGATAATTATACCAATTTTTTGTAATGATATCAATTGTAAAGAAGAGAAGAAATCGATATATTTCGCAGTGTGAAGGACAGAGCCAGCGTTAAAGCCGGGAGAGAGATATTATATCCAAATATGGAAGAAAGACAAGAAGATAAGAGAGGACTGAAGTGAGAAGAATAAACGAAGGGAGAAAAGCAAATCAAAGGGAAGCCGGGAAAGCAAACAGTACCATGTGATTTTTACGACGGTTTATATACCCACCAAATCCATACGGTGTACACTCCGCCTTCGGTCCAATCTGAAGACTCATAGTGGGCACGAAGAGAGAACTACGCGGGTGGTCTTTCACGATTGTAATTGTGCTCTTACAACGATTTATTCGTTATCTATTTTCGACGCTTTAATCGAAGCCATACACCAATCGCGATCTCGCTTCCGTCACTTCCTCCTTGGTGAAACAGAAATTCGAATCCGACAAACCGACCTGCTAGTAAAATTGAAATTTGCATCAACAAACGGGAAAGTGATAAACTCGTAGAAATTATACTTTTACTCTCGATATTGCTACAACGAAGTATTTAAATAAATACGCGAGAAAATACTATATAGAAGCGACTTAATATATCGTGCTATAGCATATAGTTGTGCAGTTTTGTCCAAAGGATTTCTCCAGTATAGGATCGTGACTATAAGTGCAAAAATAGAGTCAGCTCGCGCTGGTGGAAGAAAAACGACGAGAAGGACGAAGAACGGAGGCGGATTGCCGGTCGGACTCGAGCAAAGTCACTCCCCGATCTCTGTCTGTTTAACATGCCGCTGATGCTCAAAATGATCGATCTGTTCGGCTCGATTCGATCGCTCTTCAAGGTGCACAGGATCGCCGAGGACTCGATGATATTTCGGTTGCATTATCGCGCCACGGTGGCGGTGCTGCTGGCCGGTTGCCTCACCCTCGCCTGCAAAAGCATCTCCGGCTCGCCGATACACTGCGAAGCCACCACGGCCGTGGACAAGGCCGTGCTGGAGACCTTCTGCTGGCTTCACACCACGTACAGCATGGTGCGCGCGTTCAACATGAGCATCGGTCAGGCCGTGCCTTACCCCGGGGTGTCAAACACCAAGGGCGAGGGGGGACACGGCCACGCACCCCACCCGCTGGTCAAGCAGCACAAATACTATCAGTGGGTTATCTTCCTCTTGCTACTGCAAGTAAGAAGCGACGGTCTCTTCTCGCCTTTTGCATTTCTCTCGATCTTTTGTTACACCATATTTCTCCATTTCTTTATTTCTTTATTTCTTTATTGCTTTATTATTGTAATTCTATTTTTATATTATACTTTCATTATGCTATAATTATATTCTCTATAGTAAATACGTAAATAATTAGATTAAAGAATACTTGAAATTTTTTAAATAAAATTTTTTTTCTCTTATCTCTTATTGCGTGGAATCGCTCTTATTGCGACTCTTTTTGATTAAAATTTAGATCTTCGAGTGCCTTTGATTTTGAAGAAGCAAACATTTATTGAAATAACGGTATATGCGAAAGCGATCGAATGCTCATATCTAAATTAAGTTAGTTCAGAAAATGCCGGTCCTGAGACTCAGTATCGATGAGCGGTGTACGATCGGCGAATGCGTGTATTCGTTTATCCGTGATTGATAATCCTTGTTCATAACGTCAATACATAAATACAGGTTACAGATAGTTCTGCCTTTAAAATGCATATGTACCTTCGATCCTATCTTTGATCGTACCTCCGCCTCCCATACCTTAAGCATTACTCGTCTTCGCGCACATACAATATCGTTCTTTTTCTCGAGTCACTATCCTCTATTTATACGTCCGATGTTCCTTATACAACTCTCTCGCTCTTTGATTAATCGCGCATCCGCCTTTTATTTTGCAATTGATTGCTGCGTATCTAAATGTGTTTTCTGGACAACGTTTGACACAAAACATCTATAACGTCGCATATCGCTAATAAATTGACAAAACGCGCCACTAACATGATTAATGTTTAATAAAATTGAAAATGTCACGTAGGAGAGAAACGTACTTTCGAAAAACTATCGTTTGTAAAGAGAAAATTTTTCTATAATTTTTTTCATAAGTAATTTTCGATAATAAACAATTGTATAATATAATTTTAATACAATTTTAATAAAAACGTGATTTTACCAAATCATCATTGAATAAAACGACTTTTCCTAAGAGTTTATATATTTTTCAAATTTATATATTACACGTAAAAGTGTCAATTATATTATACATATACGTAAATAAAAATATTTATATTCTAAATTAGTTATATTTTACGTTACGCTTATTTTTAAACGTGTTAAAAGTAGCAAGAGGGTACACTTCTTTGTTTGCTCTTCTTCCTTCTTTGTCTCTCTTTTCTCGAAAGCTACTTCGCCTTGTTTAGCTAAATTTATTCGAGGCTAACGTGACACATAGATGCCACGTATCGGCCAAGAATTGTGGCAATTTCTTCTTTTCAAACAAATATTCACACATATATACATAGTTGATTGAGTTAGATTGTAATTTATTTCATAAATCTGTTCAATTTTATCGTATTACACGTCTATTTCTGAATTATATTTATTAAACTTCCACAGTATGAGGCTTTGAAAGATATCCTTATAACGACCTCTTCATCCCTCTGCAAGACCAGTTTCAAGATAAAAAACGAAACTATATCTTATAGAATACGCTGTCAAGTTCAGATTTAATTTGCTTGTTTTTTTATGATGTATGAGCATTGTATAATTTATTAAAGATCTACGACGTGTAAAATTAATTATAACGTCACGTCACTTTATTTTATTTCGTATTATTGCACAAAACGTGAACAGCAAATGCGTAATCATCGATGTATTTGAACTTATTTGCATATCTAAAGGAATTTATGCAGAGACAAGTTTCACCATTGAAAGAGAGATATAAATGTCCTTTCAGCAGGGCAGCAAATGTGGTCGCCCGATCCTTGGTTGGCAAGGGAAGAGAGAAGAAGAGAGGAACACACAGAACTATTTTCGGTCACGCATTTTCCTCTTCTCTTTACAACGCGTGCGTTCTCCAACGCGATAATGCTAAAAGCTGCGAATCGTACAATCGGCTTGACATGCGCGTTTATTTTACGTTTCTTCTCGTAATCTCGTCAAGAGCGAGGTCAGACCACCCATTTTGAAGAAATCCTGTCGCCGATATGTAAACCGTGTACGCTAAGGCTATTAAACGAGTTACGTAACGTTCATTATACTTTTATTTCATCCATATAAATTTTCCTTGCGACAATTTACGAGTGATTACTGCTAATATTGGTTGCCGTGACTTTTACGATTTATATTATGGATACTTGTATACGGCTATTAGGTTATTAAAGTATTTTTTTTTAAACTTAGCATTTTAAAAGTTGTCGAAAAAATCGCCGTAAACAAAATATCATTGATATACAATTTTACCGTGGCGATTGTACTAAATTGTATAAGGTACCTTATACAGAACGTAGAATTTGTGCGCAATATTACGGGATTATATTGCTATATATATGAGGACGCTTATAATGTTTTCTCCACAATAAGATCTTACCGTCATCTTGCGCATTTGTCTCCAAGCCAAAATAATAGAGAAGTCATTTCTGCGCTTCTCAGAAACAATGTGACTCGTCGGATAAAACGTAATACGTTTTGGGAAACCCATTAAAGTTCGGACGCACGTCTCGAGCACGTACTTTCATTAACAATCACCCGAGCCTTCCGTAAATTGCAATTTAGCTCGAATTTTCTGAACACTCGCCAACACGTCGTAAGGGGGGTAACGCGCGACGAGCGCGCGTACGTATCTATATTCGATCGCGTACTACGGCAAGCACGACCCGAGGCCCCTGGCGATAAGCCAGAAAGCTTTATATACCGTGAGAAAGGGTTTACTCCCACATCGCGGTCTCGATAAGTGCATTGACATCGCTTCGGAAATTCTAATGTGAGATAAGCTAGTCTCGATTCAATTAGCCCGGATTATCGCTCCAAGCGTGACTACTAACACCCGCCGCGTATTCTAAGATACTATCGAATAAAAATATTACAGGAAGTTAATAAAATATTACGTTGGAGATTGCGGGATAAAACGAAAATGATGACTTGACGACGGATTCGATCTGAATCTTTAGTGCATACATATATATATATATATATATACATATATATATATCGTGTAATTTATATTGAGCGTTAATTCTTAATTTATAATCAAATTACGAAAATAAGAGCGAATCAGGCTGTTAAAAAGGCCCCACTTCGCAAAAGAGTGAAATAAACGTAATTATTACATTAATTAACTGCAAATGAAATTTTTCTGTTGATTCGTTATAGCGCAATTACGTTATGAGTAACCGCCAGTAATGCAATTTCGTACAACATAGATACATACCTAATCGTGATAAACAGCGCAACGATATGAAATAATTAAGATCGCGAGATATAACTATCTCGTTCCCGCCTTTCTCGAAGGGAGGTGCGGCCAGCAGTTTTTATACGCGAAAAGTTCATAAAATAGGATTTCGTTCGTATATACGTGCGAGCGGCCCGTGCTTTGTTTTAATCAGCAGTTATCGGGCGCGAGGTACAATAATGATAACTCCTTTCGCGCGCTATCGCGCTAGTACGCACGTATAAGTACTAGATCCGCCTCGCCGCGGAACTCCCCGGTAATATATCAGCGATTGGCCGATTCGCCGGTATTTATTCACTCGCAGGCACTTTGCCCGCAGGCGATCCTCTTCTACACCCCGCGCTGGCTCTGGAAGGGCTGGGAGGGTGGCAAGATTCATGCCCTTATGATGGACCTCGACATCGGGCTCTGCTCCGAGGTGGAGAAGAAGCAAAAGAAGAAGATGCTGCTCGACTACCTTTGGGAGAACCTGCGTTTTCACAATTGGTGGGCCTACAGGTATTACCTGTGCGAGGTCCTCGCGCTGCTGAATGTGATCGGTGAGTGAGTCCAACACTTCTCTCTTTCTTTTTCGGTCCGCGCCCCAAGTCCTTCCGTCAATGTTTGAGCTCTTCGATCAGCAACGCACCGTCCCCATCGCGATGCCGTAACACGAACGAATTCCGGAATTCGCAGACCCGTTAGGCGAACGTCACCGCGTGTCTTCCGTTTACGATCGATAAACATAAACCAGTTATGCGCTTAAAAGAATGGTATTTAAAGCGTTTCGCTTTCGCTACTGAAGATGCTCACGTAGCTAAAATTAAGAATTTTAAGAAACCGTCGACAGCTTTTTTGCTGTTATTTTACACAAATAAAATAAAAGTTTAAAACATATAGATATTCTATACATTTCTACCTTATCTCGTCGATAATTTCAAGAAAGTAAATAAATGTGCCTCGCTAACAAATTAAATCTTTGCCAAATTGTTCTCAGCTATTAACATTCAAACTACGCTACACAAACTTTTGAAGCATCAAGAAATATTCGTGTTTATGTAAATCTTCGTTTCTGTGTGCTTAAATCTCGAAATTTGTGCAAGCAGTTTATATGCTGCATAAATATTTAAACGCGCGACGCAAAAATTAAATTTCTGAAGATGGAAAGCAATGTAACTATACGTTGCAAATTTTCAAGATTGCACAACATACAATAACGTAATCACTTTCGTAAGCAGAGCATATCAAAGACGATGGAATTCAAGAACTGTCTCTAGGCTAGCGCGTTAATTTTACAAACGTGTACGTGTAAGAAAAAGGAAGGTATAATGAGCGATGAATGAATGAATGATTCACGGTAAAAGTTGGCAGCGATACAGCTGGCCAACCGCTTGCGAACTCGACTACCCGATTAGCTATGAGATAGCTCGTCAATTTTATCCGATGTCTATTGCGTTCCAATTACAGTGTGATATGACCATCAATGTAAACGTGTACGAAGACATAATCGTTCACACGTATGAATCAGTCAACTACGAAAGCTATGAAAATATATGTACCGTAAAATTTGATTAAACGCGAAGTTATGATTCAATATTTTAAGACTCCGCGGATACAAAATTATTCGAAAATGATTGCAGATATTATTCTCGAGGCTGAGATTGAGCTTTATTTGTTAAGATTTGATATATGTTTAATAATGTTACGATAAATTTTTTTTATAATTTAAAAAAGATATGGTTATAGATAAATATTTAAAAAGAAGATAGAAATTGATTGAGTTTTTAATCGCGATTATTATATACAATATATCGCAAACGTTTTTCTAAGCTGACGAAATTGTGTGCTTTGAGAGAAAGATAGATAGATAGGAATAACAGAAAATTGTAAAACAACGAGCACATTGTCGCAGGTCAGATGTTTCTGATGAACCGCTTCTTCGACGGCGCTTTCTTGACCTTTGGCATCGACGTACTCAGGTTCCTCGAATCCGATCAAGAAGATCGAGTGGACCCAATGATTTACGTCTTTCCACGAATGACCAAATGCACCTTCTACAAGTACGGCGTCAGCGGGGAGGTCGAGAGACATGACGCCGTCTGTATACTGCCTCTCAACGTCGTGAACGAGAAGATCTATGTCTTTCTGTGGTTCTGGTTCCTTTTCCTCGGCGTGCTCAGTTTCCTTACGGTTTTATATAGGGTCAGTATAATCCTGGGAAAGATACTTCCCTTGTATCTTTTATTTTATAAATAATATCCGCGATAGAAAAGTTCTCCTGCCGCAATCGATACTTCTTATTTAACGCACCACAAACTTCAAATTTTTTAAATGTCTATTATCTCTCTCATAGGATAATAAAATAATATTTGCTACGCAAATAATTTTCGTTACTTTCACTTGCGATTACAAAATTGTAACCAATAGATCAATATGACCGTTAATCAATTTGATAATGCTAATAGTATAATCAATATAATAATGCAGTTCTAACTCTTCTTTTTTTTCTTGCAATGTAATTTGCCATTTGCCCCCGCAGATCCTAATAATATTTTCGCCGCGCACGAGGGTCTACCTGTTGCGAATGAGGTTTCGTTTGGTACGGAGGGACGCCGTGGAGACCATAGTGCGTCGCAGCAAGGTCGGCGATTGGTTTCTTCTCTACATGCTGGGCGAGAATTTGGACACCGTGATATACAGAGACGTGATGCACGAATTGGCGAACAAGCTCGCCACGCGGCATCACCACGGCGTATCGGGAGTGAAGGGCGAGCTTCAAGAAGCCTGATCGAGGTGAGCGTCTCCCCTTGTTCTCGTTCCTCGCGCGCTCGCGTAGGTGTCCGTTGAATAACTTTGCTCTTTATGACACTGGCATTCAGAAACGTATTGAATTCTTGAGGGATCGTCGGCGTACATCCTCCGATCAGCCTACGTGATATATATACATGTACGTGCCGGATAGCAACCGTATATTATCTGAATCGCGATATTACGACGTGACCGGTATGATCGATGCCCACAAAAATATTAACTTTATACAAAAACAGAGCAAACTGCAATATTCTTGTCAGTATTTTTGCGAAGATAAGCACACGATTTTTGAAAGAATTAGAAAATAGAGCGCATCTTTTTTTTCAATTCGTCGTTTTTAGTATTAAATTTTACTTAAACTACTTTAACACACATTCTACCTAGTAATATAAACATTCCCCAAATAGAAATTCGGATTGGAAACATGTATGGTGTATTGATATGATATAAAATTATTATTACTAATAAGTTAAACAAATGATATTGATATTAACAGCATTAGCGAGTAGCAGTTTAATTAAAAATAATTTTATTAATTCAATAATAGTATTGATGAAACGAATACATTTTATGAGAACAAGAGTATGACGTATTTGTTTCATTAATATTATTATTGAATTAACAAAAATTACTTTCAATTAGACTACTGTTGGCTACGCTGTCAATACACTATTATTTTACTTATTATATATACATTTTTATTTCACATAATTTATAGAATAATCCCAAATTTGTGAAACAATTCTAAAGGAATTCTAAAGAATATAGTCTTCAGTTCATACTCCTCTCGAACATCACTGCTATTTCCATTTCGAAATAGGATATGAGTTCCAATCCGAAGTGATTTCGCCTTGAAAGAAGCGCGCCATCAGTATTGTTTAGCAACGTAACGGCAAGTATCTCGGACGGATCTACGCGGCCGCCTCGTATAAGAAAACGATGCGGCGTCAGGCACGTGCGCGCTCACGATTTCACCTGCCATAACTAAGCAGCCTAGAGACGCGTGTCCCGGCGCGACGTCCCGTAGATCAATTGAGCGTGTCCGATGCAATCTACGCAATCGCTTTATGCGCGCCATGAGTCGGACGATTATTGTTGCAGGTTGCCTCGGAGGGTCGGCACGTTCGATTCGCCGCTGCCGCAGTCCTGCCCTCACCCTGCATCCGCATCGCGCGGTCGTCGACGCGTCCGGGGACGACGCGGGACGTGCGCGGATCGCGGCCGGAGCCTGAGAAGACGGGCCGACGGGTCTTCCTCGAGGATCCGCGGCTCCGGTCTCGCGAAGAGACGCGTTTTTCCCTTCCGCCGACTGTTGCTCGTCGAACTCGCGGCGATGCGACAGCGATAGCCATAGAGATGCCATAGAGATGCCAAAGAGACGCGTCCGCCGAGATAACAATTTGCGGTGAGAAAAGGGGAGAGAGGAAGAGAGAGAGAGAGGGGGGGGAAGAGAAAGAGAGACACGCGCTTTCACTAGTCATCCTCAAGAATCGGAAACCGACGTCGGTTTCGGTGAGTTCAGCAATCTCGATGCCGCAGACACGAGCGAGAATATTTAGAGAAGACAGCATGGGCGTCCCCAGGGGGAGGGCGAGGAGGGGCATTTGCCCCCCCTGAAATCAACAAGTATAAGAAAATTCAAAATTGGCTCTCTTATTTTTACAAATAATTGAAATAATAAATATGTTTGTCAAATGTGAGAGAGCTAAAACACAAGTACACAACGTTTGGATATTTGCTTCTCGCGGTAGTTCGTATTAAAAATTTAGATCATGTCCCCCTCTAGAAAAAATCCTGCGGACGCCCTTGATACTAGCAGTATGGTAAGGGTATTTTGTAAGTTTGGCTGTTTTGTAAGAGTCGCACGCTGAGAGTCGAAAGATTTTCCCCACATCGAGAACTAAAAAAGTTTTTTTCTCGAAAACGAGGCAAACACGCTCTTGAGTTTTTTTTCTAATTGTAAGATGTAGGAAAACTGAAAGTATATAAAAAATATTTTTTCAGATTTTTTGACTCTCCAATTGTTAAAAAATTTGTTAAAAAGTTTATTGTTAAATAAACAATGAAAAACAAAACCTTGCGTATTTAAAAAAAAATTGGCTAGCATTATTAGTAACAGAGTTATAAATTTTTGAAAGATAAAGTAGTCTAAATTTTAATTGTTTATATCTCGATTAATTTTGCAATTAAAAAAATCCTTTGGCACAAAATTCTATCTCCGAGAGTACTATCTATGTGCAAAATTTAAAAAAATTCTAAGAGATGACTGATCCGCTTCACGTGGAATAGCCCATATATATATAATTCAAATTATTATGATATTTTTACTAGTATTATATTGAATAAAATTTAAAGGTATTACAAGATTATTTGTTGACACATATATATTACGTATAAATTAAATATGTGAAATATTTTAAAGTGAATATATGCATATAAAATCTTTTTAATTTATATAAAATAGTTTACTATTAATAAATAATGTATTGATAGATACATTATTACTATAGATATTATGATAGATATACTATGATAGATAGATACTATGATAGATAAAAGCACTCAAGGGGATCGACAAATTGAAACATATTAATTATATTGTGGAAACCGATAATAACGATAGTTTGAAAGTTATCGGATATAAGTACAATTGGTACAATTAACAGACGTGCGAATTGCATATTGCTGTTAGTTTAAATCCTAACAGTTTTAAGCATGATAATAATGTTGCTTCGTTTGAAAGTACCAACGAAAAATGGTTTCTAAATTTGTCGGATAATGTGATTCCTGAAAAAGTTTCCAATTTATTGCAATTAGGTGAAGGTTTCTGCATGCCAATCGGTTCCAACAAAAGAAAAATTGTATATGAGTTTATTAAAAATATAGAGTTTGGTTTATTACGGGTTAACAACAAAATAAAGCCAAAAATAAGATGCACAGTTGTTTCGCAGCTAAACAGATTTTTAGATACTAATATTAGTCACAATGATATTGATAACAAGATATTGAATATGTATAAGTTTTCTAGTAATTTTTATAAGAATAATCCGAATATTCTTTTTACTAAAGCGGATAAAGGAAACTGACTGTTGCATTGGATAGGGCGCAATATATACAGAAAATGGACGATTTATTGAGCGACACGAACACTTACACTATGGTAGGTAAGAACCCAATTAAGAATTTAGAGGCCACATTAAATACTACACTTAAAAGGTGGCTCTAGAGGTTACATTACGAAATCTAAGTATTACGCATTGAGATCGAGTGATGCTTTGTTATTGAAAGCTTATGGCCTTCCCAAAATCCATAAAAAGGGTTGCCCATTGAGAATAATTGTCTCTTCTAGAAATACGACACTCTCCGCGTTAACTTCGTATTTGCACAATATTTTACATAATAGCCTACCACATGCTGAAAGCTATGTTAAGGATAGTTTTCAATTATATCATATGCTGTCTAACAAAGAAATTTCTACTGAGGAATTGTTGGTCTCTCTAGATGTCATATCTCTCTTTACAAACATTCCTACGGATCTGGTTTTAGAAGGCATCAAAAATAGATGGAACTTTATAGCCGAGAAAATAAATATACCTTTAGATGAATTTATTTTAGCTATACAGTTGGTCTTAACGTCAACGTTCTTCACGTTTGATAATAAAATATATAAAGACTCACGGTGCATCTATGGGTTCCTCGTCTTCTCCGGTTTTTGCAGACATTGTTAAGCAAGATCTGGAGATGAGGGCACTTGACAGTATCGGAATAAAATTGTCTTTTCATTTTCGGTATGTTGACGATATCCTGATGGTTGCGCCGAGGGAACGAATTGATGATATTTTGCATACATTTAATATTTTCATGAGAGGCTACAATTCACCGCTGAGATTGAGACAGATCAGAGTATCAGTTTTTTGGATGTTAAAATAAAAAGGGACAACAATAAGTTTGTTTTAGATTGGTACCATAAAGAAACATTTTCTGGTAGATACCTTTCTTTTCTTTTTTGTCAAGCCACCCGATGTGCCACAAGATCGGTATGATATATGGGCTAGCGGATAGGGCTGTTATGTTGTCTCACCCCAGATTTCATCAAAAAAATCTGGCGTTAGTGGTGAACATGTTAATTGATAATGGATACCCTTTGAGTTTAATTTTTGATAAAATTAAATATAGAATAAAGAGTCTAATTTTCACTAAACTGAACGACAGTTACACTGTTAAAACGAGTGAGGATGATAGGAGGGTCATAGCTTTCCCTTACATAAAAAAATGTGTCAGAAATTGTTGCCTCGGCTATAAATAAAAAAGAGTTTTTAGTTGGGTTCAGATGTCTCAATAAGCTGAATAAACTTAAGATCGGAAGAGCACACGTCTG